CGAGAGGAAGCCCCAGGTACCCCGCTCCTACGTCCATCTAGCGGGGTTTTTTGACCGGTAAACTGCTTCTCACTGTATTTATTTACTGGAGTGACCTCTTCAGGGGCGGGTGTGGATAGAAAAGGAATCCAGGAGGTGCCCATGCAGCTCTCCTTGTGAGACTGATCTTCGTCTGGCCTCTACCTCTTGACCTTTCTGGCATGATTGGATCTGCGACTGAGGAGCTATCCTGTATAGCTCGCAGGGTAATTAAGGTGCGCAAGCCATCACACCACGCCAAGCTGCAGTCTCGTCGTGATAGAGCCTAATGTTTGCTGCTCAATTTTTGTTTCTCATCTTATTCTCTATCTATCTAATCTTGCTTGGATTCAAATACATGCCAAACTGTCTGGTTTACGGATTATAATCTTTTGTGCTCCGACTGCCCAACCAAACAACCTATGAATAAACCAACTCCTTTGGCTTGGAAGAGATCCGAACACAAACAACACGGTCAAAGTGGACATGGTCAATCTGGTTGTGCTTCTGTTGAGCACACATCCTGCGGTAACTTTCAAGGCCAAATTGGATCTTTTAGTTCAAGTGAGTATTGAACGATACTGTTTTTGTGTTTCTTTTTATCATACGCGATGCTCAAGTAGAAAGAGTACAGTAGGAACTACTGATGAGTACAGGTGCTGTGAATCACATTTAACTGTCATAAAGATGTGGAAACAAACCGATAACAGAATTGTTCACCTGCTAGCTGAAATTATCATACAGGCTTTTAAGTGACCGTCGTCTTTATTCCAGCATAAACACCTTGATGACTAGCGATAGACAGCACACAACTAGACTTATCTTCTAAATCAAAGGATGATATTTAGAAAGAAGCAATTCTTAGAGTTATTTCCACCATATGTCTATCTGCTTGATAAATGAACGAAAGCATAAGTGCCATGGCTAATTGCGCCGTTGGCGTTGCACATTTAAACAAGAGAAAATCCTAAGGGTTGGGAGGAGAACAATAAAATGCGAGGAATCGTTCACTTCTTGTGTACGTGTCTGTGTTTGTGTGTGTTGCACACCGCATTCTCAAATCTGTGCTTCCGGGGTTTTCGGTTGTGTCACGACGGTCGTGTGACCCAGTTCCGAGGGATCGGTGTTGTTGTGTTCAAATGTTTGTGTGTGGGCAATAGGGACTTGGGAGAGGAGTGGGCTCGCGAACCCAGGGGAGATGGAGAGCTTGGATTAGACGTTTCTGGGCCCATAGTTCGGGGGTCAAATGCTTAATACAGATGGCCTCGGCTATGACCAGTGCACGCATTTTAATGTATTCGGACCGGTCCGCGGGGACCTGATAAATAATGCGGAATGCTTCACTTGGGTTAACAAGATGGCCAGTGTCCACCAAGTGAGCGAGAATCGCACTCATGATAGATCCGGAACCACCTCGACTCAGCCAGCGGGGATGGCGTTCTTTCATGTGGATAGATAAATGCCGTACCGCACGCCCGACGTAGAGTGCGTCACAAACGCATCTGAACGAGTAAACAATCATTGAAGTAGCCAACAACGGTAGTTTACCTTTATTCCGTATGGTTATCAGTGTCGAACTTTTGAAAGAGCAGCGTAGGTGCACGGCGTTGAATGTGGCTTTTACCGCTCCATTCAGTCGTCTGATGAGGGTTTCAGCGGCAACTTCACTTTTAAAAGGAAGACCAATGAATAGGTCCTTTTCCACCATATCAGTGTGTACTTTTGGTACCTGTTCCATCATATTTCGTCGAATGAATCGGTCGGGGTAGCCATTGCTTCTGAGCACGTTGGAGATAAATTTGAATTCATCTTCCAATACTTCTTGTGAGCAGATTCTTCGAGCTCTAGATACCAAACATTTAATCAGGTTCCTCTTCAGCTTGATCGGGTCATAACTGTAAAAATTCGTGTATTGGCCACTCCAAGTTTTCTTACGGTACACACGGTGCTGTATAGATCCATCACGCCTTCTAATGAGGAGTACACCTAGAAACGGTGTTCGATCGTCTGCTTCTACCTCCTTTGTAAATTTTATGGCCTTGTGTGCGGAGTTGAACTTTTCTAGCAGTTTGAATCAGCTATACAAAATTTGTCGTCTACATGCCGACACTATTTATAAAGACTAATAACGATGCCTTTCAGTTGGTTATTCTCCAGCATCGCCATGAAAAAATCCTCCAAAAGGGGTCCTAGTGGTGATCCCATTGCTACTCCGTCCTTTTGTCGGTAGACCGTTCCGTTGAAAAGAAATTGAACGTCATACGTAGACCGAAATAAAAGTTCGCGCAGCGCTTCTGTGGGTATCCCCAAACTAATTTCATTATCAGTGAGATATTTTATGATGAACTGGATGGTTTCCACTAGTGGCACATTTGTGAAAAGTGACGTGGTATCCATGAACAGCATCACCTTATCTGACACGTCCGTATCTCGTTTTGCTTCAATAAATTGGAAGGTATCCTTACCACTATATACCGACAACCGTGTTCTTTCTGGTTCAAGGATTTCAGCCAACCATTGAGCGACTGCATGGTATGGAGAATTAGTCATCGATAGGATAAGACGCAGGGGAACCTGGGCTTTATGGCAAACCATATAGCCTCGGAATGCATGAACCGGTAGGTCTTATGCGTTCATGTAGTTCACTGCTTATGTAACCCTCTTGATTGAGTCGTTTTAGTATCCCCGTGAGTTTTTGTTTAGTCTGGTGTGCTTTATCTTTTTCTGTTAGTGTGGTTGTGAACTTGTCCTCTTCCGATACGATAGCTAGCAGTTTGTCTCGTGTTCCCTCTTGTCTACGACGACAATCTCGGTTCCTTTATCTGGGCGACTGAAAGTTATATCTTTATAATGGGTCAGTTCACGTAGTGCCTCGATGTGCTTTTTGGTAACGGCGCCAGTCGTGTGGGATTCAGCTCTGCGGTACAAATAGCAAGTGTTAACGAGAATTGATTTAAAAGCTTCCATCTCTTTGATCGAACCAGGCACCAAACCCCGTTTTCGGCTTGTACTTCCAAATCCGCAAACTCATTCTTATTTCTTTTTGGAAAACAAAACTTTGGGCCTAAGGATAGAACCTCGATCTGCATGTGATTTAGACTGATACTAGATAGGTTATGGACGTACCTCCGGTTGATTGGGGAAACTGAATTGTGTACCTTTTTTCCAACGTTCGCCTCAGGCAGGACAATGAACTATAGTGCGCACATAATTGAGATATTCCAGTTTTAAGTCCTCATGTAAACAATCCACGAAATGCTGGCACTGTAATATATTCCGTCCATACTCTGTCACTTTAGAGTGAATAGCGTCACATTCATTAAGGGCATGACGCCGCTATGTCTTAGCATTTGGATGAATTTGGTGTCGACGTAAAACTTTCTAATAATGGTGAGGGTAACAGTTCGTTTGAATACAGTCACGAATGAATTCAACACAAGTGGTGGCCTCGCGTGGAAAACGCAAGGAACTGATTCAGTCCTTTCACCACGTTGGGCTCTGTGCAAACTTTCAAATTTCGAAATATACCCATAATCGCATTTAGAACACAATTTTCAGGTGAATAATTGCCTTCAGTAACCTATAATCATGCCGTTACAGTCTATATGAAGGGAAAAATCCTAGGGGTTGGAAGGAGAACAGCAAAATATGAGGAATCGTTTTGTCAGACATTGACCACATTTGTGGTGGTGGTGGTGGCAGTGGCGCAGTGATTTAGTCGCTGTCACAGGCGTGGTTTGGACCCTGTGGTCTGAGGTTCGAGCCCCACCACCGCCACCCGACTTCGGTGGTAGGCAGCTTTGCTGTCGTCCGGTTCAATACCACGTCTAACCTAGCGGGGCCTTATGTGGTTAGCCACTCCAAGTCCCGGGGCTTAGGTCACCGGTTTCCATCACTGAACAGCAGGTCGTCGTGACTATGGGGTTTACCCCATCTGCTGTTCATCACACGAAAGTGTGTAATAAAAAAATTGCATATTTCCCGGAGGTGTGTCCGTCTAAAACCAATTTTCAATGATTATGAATCCCAACACCAGAATACTTGTATTGACTTTTAACTAATAGTGCTTGGGTTTGGTATCTTATTCAAGTAATGCTGGACTGCGCACAAGTAATGTTTGTTGAGGGACAAAACGATACGGTGGTCAAGGGATATAGGAGGACATTGTGATATCAGTCCAGGTTTCCAGGTGTTCCAATATGACCACCTAACAGTCTCTGTTCTCTATATATTTTGCCAGCCTTTGATCGATCCTAATCTCTTTCCGGAAAATCGATTGTGTAATTGGTTGTTCAATAAAAGAGAAAGCAGAAGAATATTTCAGTAAACCTAGAAAAAAATCAGCGTTAATTCTCCATTGACCATCAATTTTCCATTCACATACACTTATACGATTAAGACCCGAAGAAAGCTCACTGTAACTTATAGTTGAGTGTTGTGCGTTGGTAGTTTGTTTGTCAATCAAACAATCACTGAGGGATTGTTGCTAAAACGTTAGAAACATACATTGTATCACTTAGCTAGTCTCCTACAAAGTGTGGCAGGAAAAACGAGAAAAAAATTTTCGGGCAGTGGAGAAAAAGAATGTCAGTTTTCAATGGGGTCACTGATAATAGGAGAAAAGTTCCGAGAGAGGCGGGGGCGAGAGGACAACAGCGATAATTGGGGATAAATGTGTGACAGAAAGTAATCAGTGCAGAATCATCCGCTTTTCGGTGCACAAATGAGGCTTCAGCGGATTAATCACTACAGCCGCAGCAAATCTGAGCTTATATTAAATTTTGGGTTTTATGATCAAATTAAATACCTCAGTTTTATCAATTTAGTGTCCTGTGTCCAACAAATGACATGCACTTGCACCGTCCCCGCGAACAGATACGATCTTCGGGATTTGTTCGATCATCTTCGTCGAAGTTCAGTACTTCTGACATACCGTGATCTGCAGGTGCATTAGTTGATTGCGATCGGAACCCTGTGTTATTCTGACCCCACCGAATCAGTGACCTACGTTACTTTTTTCTATGACCTAATCACACGTGTGCGTTGCATGTGTGAACAGCTGAATGAGAGTACACGAAATGGATTGTCACTAAATTCTACACAGATTCTTTTTATTGTTTCGCTTAACTGGAAAAAGAAGGGAAGATAATGTGTTGTACAACCGAAGAGCACCATGCTCATCATTTCGCGTTCATTGCCTCATGGTGCGTTAGTGCATGTACCGGATTAACGTCCGTGACTCGTAGATACCGAACCCCGAATCCGCGTCAGAACACAAGGCTGGGAAATCTACGTGTACTATTGCATAATCAATCATGAATTAATCGAAATACAACGGCATACCTCAAATTAGGGGCAACCCGGTCTGGACAAAACAATGGTTCGACATGACGAGGGTAAATGTGTCAGGAAAACACTCTTGGAAGTCGGAGGAGGAATGAGATGTGGATATAGCGGCAGTGCTATTTAAAGGGCGGTGAGGACCAATCACAGGGATGGGATAGCGACGTGACACCAAAGGCGGGTGGGTGGGGGCGACAGAGGGCAACCGTAATCACAGTGTAATTGAGAGAATAGACAACGAACACAAGGAGGGTGTTAAACACAAGGCGGGCGGTAGCATGTGTCAAGAAATAACTGATTGCGAGAAAAGGATGAACAGTGACAACAGTAAAGACGGTAGCGAATGATGAACAGGTGACTACAGTTTCTATGCCGGGTCGAGATACTTGATGACGATAATGGATAGAGCGCAGAACGAGTGACGACAGTTACTACGACACAGTTCCATGTGTGGGGGGGAGATAATAGATTTCGATGATAAGACGATAATTACGACAATTACCATTAAACAGTTTCCATGTGGGGTGGAGAGAATAGATTGCGATAACAGGTTGAACGAAGAAGGGGTCACGACAATTAACCCGAAAGCTGCTATGTGGGGCGGTTAGGTAATCATAGGGGAAGTACGGAAAAGTTCAAACTAAATAGCCATGGAGGGGGAACGTAGCAAGTTCCGATCTGGTTGGCAGAGGTCATCAAACTGGGAGTTGGTTAGGACCGCACATGAATTGTTGGGTTTTTAACATAGCACAGGTAGGTTCGGTGTACGTAATTTCAACCATACGATAAAGCATCTTACAGTGCATATTCCTTCTTTTTTTTCATTTTTTTCACTTCACAGCTACATTGTGCTTCACGATGAAGAGATGCCCCGATTGAGCGGTTTGTGGCCCGGTTTACTTGAAGCTTGGGAAAAGACAAAACCGATCTCAGCCACAACAGCAACGAGTTCAAATGAAATGGACGGTCCATCCACTGTGCCGATTCCAGACTTGGTTGTGATTGGTGGCCTTCAGTCAATGGATCGGTGGCCATTTCCAGATAAACCGGGTAACGCTAATACAATTGCTCTGCCCTGGTTTGAGTATCTGCATAAACATTGTG